ATTTTAAAAGCTGAGTACTGTACCAGTCTGCAGATGATATACAACAGTTTCTTCATTCACCCAAAGATGAACCCAAAGGAGGGCTCCACATCATAGCTGTTGTGGTTTTTTGGTTTTTTGGTTTTTTTTTTTTTCTGGTACCAGGAATTGAACTCACGACCTTGCGCTTGCCAGGCAGGCGCTGTGCTGCTGAGCTAAATCCCCAGCCCCCATTGTAGCTGCTGCGAATGACGCTGTGATAAGCATTGGGAGTAGGGTTATCTCTTTGATGTATTGATTTCGTTTCCTTTGGGTGTATATGCAGCAGTGAGGTTGCTGGACCATGAGGTAGTTTTACTTTTAATTTTTTGAAAGACCTCTATTTTGTTTTGCAGACTAGCTTTACTAATTTCCATCCCAACATCGTGTTCCAGTGTTCCCTTTTCTCCGCATCCTCCTCAACACTTCTTAATAGTAGCCGTTGTGGTAGCAGTAATGTCTCATCATGGTATTATCTGGCATTGTCTTGATGGTTAATACTGTCAAACATTTTTTGATATACCTGTTAGTCATTCGTATATCTTCTTTTGAAAAACATCTACAGTAATACCTCAGCTCACCAGTGCTTCTATTTGTAAATAAAAGCATTTGGCAGAATTCTGCTTTCGTTTGCAAATTCCACGTTGAGTGACACAGAGGACCAGGGCATCCTCCCAACAAACTCAAATGTACCGTCTTCCCCAAAATTGTAAAATAAATTAAGTTTGTCAATCAAGACATCACTATATTTAGATCCTTTGTGCATTTTTATTTGAGTGCTTTATTCTCTTACTGAACAGATAGTTATGAAATACAGACTTTGTGCCCAGCAGTCTTCCAAGCTCTAGAAATTCAAATGTAGCATCCATCAGTCCTACGAGATAGTTGCATTTGAAGAAGGTGAATTCCTCATTACCATGCAAATTGCAGAGATGCACAGGGTATTAAGGAAGATGTGAGAGGGCTTTTAAATATAGCCCAGCTAAGGGGAGCCTCAGGAAATGGTTCCTAGAGAAGAAAATTGCTGGGCTGCATTTTGGAGATGATTGTGAGGTAACTTGTCAGGCTTGCTGAGCAAGCCCACCACGGAGAGGAGACAGGAGGAGTAAGGTGGCGTGTGTGTGTGTGTGTGTGTGTGTGTGTGTGTGTGTGTGTGTGTGTGTGTAGGGGTGGTAGTAACCTGGCCAATGTGGTTGGTGATATTGTCATTTTGGTGTCATCAGGGGAATGTTGAGTGTGAGAAAAAGATGAAGCTGGACAGAGTACCACAGACAGGTGGCAGAGGGCAGTTTATGGCAAGCTATGGACTCAGAGATCATGCTGTAGGTGACATTGCTGTAGTAAATGGACATAAGCTAAGGACAAGCTGACACTAGAAAGCATTGCCCCCTGACCTTGTGAAGAAAAGAATGAGAAATAAAACCAGAGTTTGGACAGCCAGTTGGAAGAGCATTGCAATGACACTGGTGAGAGACGCAGGAGACACGACCCAGGGAAGCTATGGAAGGGTTGGAGAGAAGGAGACGGGTTTGAGCCTCACTTGGGAGATGACCGGTGGGACTCGGTGTTAGTGGGCAGTGGGGAGTAAAGGACAGTGAGGAGACAGGAGAGCCGCCCATGAGAATGACGGTGCCTTCATCCAAGATGGCATAGACGAGAGGGGTCTGACTTGGGGGAAGGAAGTGAGGTTTTCTTAGACCTGTTGAGTCTGAGGTGTGTCTGGCTTACTCTTAACAGCAGGTAGCTGAAGACAAGTTCGAAGCTTGGAGGGGTGGGGAGAGAGGGCCTGATCTAGAGGTGTAGAATTTGACGTATCAAAGGAGGCAGTAGGAACCACGATGGTGGCTCCCGTGACCGGGGTGAGTATGCGGTATGGAAAGGGGACTCTGCTCCCTGGGAAGCATGACACAAGGCCGGCAAAGAAAGACAAGAGGAGCCCACCGAAGAGCCTGGGAAGAAGAGAAGGAGTGATTGGCTGTGCTGGGGAGCCAGTGGGCTCGCCCATGGGGGCAGCTACCCTGACCTCCCAACGCCACCTCCCATGGTACTGTCTCTTCCAGCCAGTCTGCTGTGTGTGTCCTTCACAGAAACTTCCATAATTATAAATTAGCACTGATTTTGCCCTTATCTACCCTCTATCTCCCCTGCTAGAATGTAAACTCCAGAAAGCCAAGGAGTGGCTCTCTCTTATTCCTTGGGAAATCCCCTTAACGTAATAAATGTCTAGCAGATAGTAGTTGTTCAGTAAATATTTGGGAAATTAAATAAGGAAGTTCCAGGGTCCTAGAGTGTTGTAAAGACAGTTGCAATCAAATTACCTGTGTAATGTTCTAAATATAAAGTGTGCTTCTGCTTATACTTGTAGTGTTTCTTCTGAAAAAAATTCTGCCCTAAGGTTCTCACTTATTTCAAGGCATTAAGAAATTTCTTCTATTTCTCCTCAATAAGACATGAGGCTTCTGCATTATTGAAGAGATGAAAAAGGCAAAGAGCAGGCTCAGTATGCATTAGTTAATGGTACTGTGTTCCATGTGGTGACAGTCACCGTTTCCCAAAGCTCCTGGTCTCAGGAGAGGAAATAGAGGCCAAATCACTCTTGAAAATGTATCTGGTTGTTCAACCAGGAATACAAGTTATGATGGGAATATAGTCACAGTGGAGAGCTTGCCATACTTTTAGCAATACTTTTGTGGAAAGTTTTATAAGACAATGTAGCTGAGTGTGGTAGTGCATATATATAATCCCAACACTCTGGAAGGCTGAGACAGTAAGATTGCAAGTAATGAGACCCTGTCTCAAAATTAAAAATTAAAGTAAAATAAAATTTATAAAGGGCTATGGAATCCATCTCAGTGTGAAGGCCTGGATTCAGTTCCCCCGTACAGAAAAAAAAGGGAGATAATGAGTTTAGAATTTACATACATTTTATATACAAATCTCCCTATGCATCTATTATTTGTTACTATTTATTAAAATGCTGAAAATTAACTGGATTCCAATGTCAAACACTGAATCTCTTACAAATAAATTTGAATATCAAATGAACATTTAGGAAAGGTCTCATCTGTGGGCTTTGGGGTAGGTACAGGGAAGAATTGTAGGTGGTGGAAAGCCAGGCTCCATGATTGGACACCCATTTCAGAGATGTGGTTCCTTCCCATCCCTTCTTTCCCATCTTTGCCTCAGTCTTTACCCTGTAACTTATGCTGAAGACTTTTGAATAAAGGAAGAAAAATCTCTAAATCTGTAACGATGTCTAAAATGGGGGCATGCCATAGTGTATCAGGCATGCACCAGATCTCAACACTTCTGATTCTGTTCTGAGAGAATTTTCTGATGGTGATAAGGAAGGACAGGGAGTGGGAGGGGAGGATATTGAAAAGGGAGCTCACAGTGTTCCTCTGTAGTTAGGTACATTGGTTACACATAAGGGCTGCAGTTCAGTGTCTTGATCAGCTGTTGAACACATCCTTCCAGCGGCCAGGCTTGCTCATCTGACAATGAAGATAACAACTCGCTAACCTCAGTGGTGTTTCAAGGCTCAGGTGAGTAAATGTATGTGAGGCCCTTGGAGCAATGTCAGGCAAACACTTAGTGCCATCAACCTATTAGCTGCCACTATTATTTGTCGTTTTAGCCTAGACTGTGGTGTTTTGTACAGCGTTATATCACCCATGTTCCAGTAGTTCTGCCTTTGGAAATGATTTGCTGTAATCTGAGTGTTTGTGTCCAGGGCTTTGGGGAGGTGATTAGGTGACCAGAGATGAACCCTTGTGTATGAAATTCTTGCCCTTATAAAAGAGACCCAAGGGAGCTTGTTGGTCTCTTTCTGATGGGAGGACACAGTGAGAAAATGGCCATGAATCAGAAATCAGGTCCTCAGCAGACACTAAACCTGCCTTGGTCTTGGAGCTCCAACCTCTAGAAGTATGGGAAATTCATTTCTGTTGTTTTATAAGCCACTCAGAGTGCAGTGTTTTGTTGTAGGAGCCCCAACAGACTAACTCATGGTTACCATGCAAACAGTCCCTGGACTGTCAGGAGATAGGTTTCTTTCTGTTTTTGCGTTGCTGTCCTTGTTTACCCTGTGGCTCTTTCTCCAGTTCCTAAGAGCCCTGTTGAAATCATCAGTGGCCCCAATGGCAGACTTATATCACTGTGTTGGGAGACTTTTTCTGAAGAATTTGCTCAACCCTATACAACTCAGTTGCCTGGGGAAACCAGCTGGTGATGTCACAAGGCGTCCCACTTCCAGTTCTCCCCTGGTGCCCTTTTGTTGAGGCTGAAGCAGGGCTCAGTCCTACGCTTGCCCAGCCTGGCCATGTCTCTTCCCCACCAGGATGGCGCCGAGACCCTGTCTCTCTTCCGGTACCACCTGCACTCAGGTATGTGGGCACTAGAGCCACAGAGTTCTTCCTCACTTCTGCCCTCTGAGCACAGAAATGCCTGTGGAAATAGCGTCAGGTTAAACTTGGGAAGCCCTTCCTTCTCTAGGGCCAAGGTGTAAAACTACAACAGAAAGAAAAAGAAAAGTCCTTGGGCCTGGAGGGCCAAAGGTTGTTTCAGAAATCTCAGGAGCAGATCCCTACCTTTCTTCCTAGCCTAGACACACCCAATAGTCTCCACCTCCTGCCTTATCAACCTGCTACTCATTCTCTCAAGAGATGGTACTGGAATTTCATGTTCTGCTCCACTGAAAAGACAGTAGGACCATGGCAGTATTTTACTAGATTTTGTGGGTATTTCATAATAGGCTCTTTTAACCATGCCACTGCCCCAGTGCTCTAGTCAAACAGTGCAAAGTGCACCCTTGCTTCATACCTTCTTCAAAGCTTACCATTGGAACAAGTGCAATCTGCAGATTATCTACCATTATCTAAATATGATAATAATCCTTTCTCTCACCTTGGAAAAGCACCTAAGAGAGAAGCAAAATCCAGCCCATGTGGGAACTCTCACTCCCAAAGGGGTGTGTTTTTCAGCTCTCGGGACTGTGTAGCACTCGAGCTGTGACTATAGAAGAGAGGAGCCGACTGGACATATCCACAGCATGCTGGGCAGAGCCATGGTGAGGACTGCTACGTGTGTGTACCACTTCATTCTTTTGAACTGGTATATCTTCCTCAATTATTACGTCCCACAGCAAGGGACTATCTTCCAAGGCGGTGCGCAGTCAAAGTACTTGACACTCCTCAATCTGGTGAGTCTATAAGATCGTTGGGGAACCAGTATATTTGTAGTATCAGTGCTTGTCCATGTATCACCTTTGCATTTTATTCAATACAAAATTCTGTTATTTGTCATCCTTTAACATTGGTGAGTTTTGCTTGCTTCCTAAACAGTGTGCACTGAGAAACCAGTTTAGAAGCTATCTGTGGGGGCTGGAGATTTAGCTCAACGGCACAGCGCCTGCCTGGCAAGTGCAAGGTCGTGAGTTCAGTTCCCAGTACAGGAAAAAAACCAAAACCAAAA